TCCCAAACAAAACTATAAAATATCATTCTATTATATGATTATAGATAATGCAGTAAATGCAATACAGGAAAGATTTAATCAAATGCAAGAGTATTGTGCTTTATTTGGGTTTCTTTACGATATTCTTAACTTAAAGGATAAAAACGAAGCTGATATTCTTATGCAATGCAAAAAGTTTGAAAGTGCCTTAACGCATAATTCCTGTAAAGACATTGATGGAGAAGACTTATGCTGGGAACTTCAAAGTGTGTCTCGAAGACTTCCAAAAGTAATGGGCCCATCTGAAGTTCTTCTTTTCATTTTAAGGCATGATCTCCAGAATAGCGTTCCTAATATTTACGTCGCGTTAAGGATTTTATTAACTCTCCCTGTTTCTGTAGCAAGTGGAGAGCGCAGTTTTTCTAGATTGAAATTAATTAAAACGTACTTGCGCTCAACGATGACTGAAGAAAGATTAGTTGGATTAGCGACAATATCAATAGAGCAAGAACTGGCTTACAATCTGGACCTCTGTGAATTAATTTCATTATTTGCACAAGAGAAAGCACGCAAAGTAGCATTTTAATATTGTGACCTGCCTTCAAAGGGAAATGTGCGGCATCTACAATGTTATGACGTAAATGTTAATATTGTTGGAAGTAACGATACGATTATGTTTTAGTATTAATAAAATATTAGACAATGTTATTCTTTATAAAGAGTTTTTAAATTTCTTTTCCTATTCATATTTTACCTATTCATTTATGCTATTAGTTCATTAAATTGGACTACATAGAAAATGATTTTGTATTCTGTGCTGTATATTGTACAAATCAAAGGGCGTGATAGGACAGTTTGGCCTAGGGCTAAAAAAGCCTCGCGACGGCCCTGACTGTAGCTTTCATTCTCCTTGAACAACACATGAAAAGAAGAAGTACAATACAAACATTACAGGAACCAGTGAAACACAAATTGAAACGTTGTGGCATTGAAATACCTAGTATATCAAGGCAGTCCAATAATAGTGCTACTGTTACTCCTAAGAAAAGGTTCCGTTGTTGATTTTGCCCCAGGACATAAGATAGAAAAACTGCTGACAGATGTGTTCCGAAAACTGTAAACGATTTATATGTAGAAATCCCAGTGCTACAGGGTTAGACAGGGAGGTATGGATCATTTGAACGTGGCGCCACGCAAGGTGTGGAGAACCTTGGTGGATAAAGAGTGGGGGTATCTGTTCGTCAGGAGCCGCCATTTAGTTATTAATAAGAATGGAGACGTGGTCGAGTATCAACCTCAATACCCTCAATACTTTATGGTTGGGACGACATGCCATACATCGAGAGCAGCTATGGAATTTTTAAGGCAGACCTTTCCTGGGCGCCTCATTTTATTACGTGGAGATGTGGAGTGGCTTTCTTGGTCACCGGACCTGTCACCTTGTGATTAAGGGAATACCTCAAAGCACGAGTATACATAAACAAACCATGTACCCTTCAAGCCTTAAGTGAAACAATAGCACAAGAAATTCTTTAACTTTCGTAATGGCAACATTCAAGCTACACATTGAAAGATAAAATTTGAGTTTCGTTGAAAAATGAGTGTGTAACTGTTATTTCAAATCATCCATACCTCCCTGCCTAACCCTGTAGCACTGGGATTTCTACATATAAATCGTAATAACCCTGTATAATGTGTAATACTTGTTATGAAAACTTCGAATAAAAAATAAATGTTTTATCCAGTAATCGACTAGTTAAAAATACAAGTGTTGAGCCGATTGGAAAACGGTGAACGTCAAGTTGACATTGGAAATGCTTTAAATTTGCCTACTTCTACAATAAGAACCATTTTAAAAAACAAAGGCAAAATTAAGTTGTTTGCAACTACTACCACATCGTCTAGTGCAGCAAAGATAACTCGATCAAGAAGCAATATTTTAGAAGAAATGGAAAAACGTGTTTGAATTTGGATTCATGATGAAATAGAACGCAACATGCCGCTAAGTCAAAAAACCATCATGCAAAAACCGTATATTTTTAATCACATTCAAAATTAAAGAGAAGATACGAGTGAAAATTTGACAGCTAGCCGAGGCTGGTTCAATAATTTAAAAAAAATTAGCAATCTCCACAACATTCGAATGGAACACCGAAGAAGCTGCTGCCGCTTCAATTTTTTCTGCAACGTTAAAAGCCATTATTGAAAGAGGAAATTATCCACCAGAATTGGTTTTTAACGTGGATGAAACGGGACTTTTTTGGAAGAGAATGCCAAAGCGCACATTGTATCGCGAGAAAAAAAAGGCTAGCACCGGGTTTCACAGCTGCAAAAGATCGTTTCACCCTTCTTCTGGATGGTAACGACAATGACGATTTAAAATTAAAACCGCTACTTGTGTATCATGCCAAAACACCAAGAGCCATGAAAGGAGTTCTAAAATCTAGTCTACCCATCATTTGGAGTAGTGTATTAATGAGAGTTCTGAACCGGAAGTTGCTCCCTGTGCTCCTCATGCACTGCGCATGTGCACCGGAATAAATTTGAAATTCGTGACGTCATAGCGTCATAAAAAATAAATCTTATAGTGATACCCAAATTTTTTTTAGTCAACGTTTATTATCAGACCTCTTTATCTGCTGAGACGTCTTTAAATAAAGGGCTCTCATTAAAGAAGAGATCTGTTTAATACCTATAAATTGATATACATGACGTAGTGTGATAACCGTTGATGGTTATTTGAATAAATTCATTATTAGATGGTGATAGAATTGAAACAGTGTTTCGTTATAACGTTTTTATTTATTTATTCTTACTCTACGAGTACAAAAAGTCCGAAAAGGTTTTTACTATTTAAAAAGATTATAATTCATTCAGTTTTAATTTTAGTAAACAGTTTTTATTTACAAAATTAGGCATAAAATGTGGAAATTTATTTGTGAAAAATTATGCCGTCGAGATGCTGTCCTCCCACGTGCACCGTCTCCTCCAAACGTTCTCTGAAATTGGCAAACACGCGGATACAGAGTTCCTGTGGAATTGCATGATCATTCATTTGTCATGTGCTGAGCAAATGTGACACGAATTGCATAATCTTCCACTTTTAATGCTTGCACAACTTGAATGTTGTAGGTATGAAACTTTAAGTTCTTACTGATTAAAGGACGCGTCAGAGCTTGATTAATGTCGTGTAAATTAAAATGTGCACGGTAAAGGCGACGAACTTGGACGTAAGAATGGTTGTTTTCGAAAATGCTTTTACACAAAAAGCGCGCTGCGTCCCCGTGTATCGCTCCATTTTACTGCCATTCCGAGAGACGCACTCATGATTGCAACTGGCCAGATCCTCCCACTCCTAAAAGTTCTCGAGAAATATAACAGAGAAATAGTAAAAACCTTTTAGGACACCTGTATATGTAACCCTTTTAGTGAATTTAATTTTCACTTAAATCACTTAATTTTAATTTTATTTGTCTTCACTTGAAATATCTTTTCACTCGATTTTTATGCACTGTAACTAATTTATTGTTTATTTTCAATGTCACATTTGGAGTGTCTTCTTTAATTACTTTAAACGGACCTTTGAACAGTTCGTGTAATTTATTTGTTGATTCATTTTTTAATAGTACTTTATCATTAAATTTATAACTAACAATATCAGATTTCCTATCTAACACACCTTTTCTTTTTATTTTCGATTCAATTAAATGCACTTTTGCATTATTCCAAGATGATTTGAGTCGCGAATATCTTTTAGAAGCGCATTTACTGATGTATATTGCTTATTTGGCCGAATTTTAGCGTTCTCGGACAGTAGCACATACGTTATTAAAAAATTTTCGTCATCATCTTGTAATAATTCAGAGTACAGTTGAATCAAAAAGTTTTTTAGTAGTATTTTCACTACCATCCATAACAGGCAACAAACTACCCGCTGTTTGAAATCAAATTTTTCCCCCATTTTTATATCTATTTTTAACCTATCTTTAAGAATATTATGAGATTCTATAATAATATTATCTATTTTATTAACATACTCTTTTTTTTTATCTAAAACGTCTTATTGTCTTATTTACCTTAAGTTCTTCCAAAACTTTTTTAAATTTATCAACTGTCTCCATAAGCACTTTAGGTGCGCACTTATTTATTGTTAAACATTGTCGCGCATAGACACTAATTCTTAGCTCCTAGAAACTTCCAGTCGCATTCTCTTCTCAAACTTTTTCATACACCGACGCCAAATGTCATACACCCACGAAAATCAGGATAAGGATTATAATTACTGCATAACCAATTTCCGATGTGTTGAACGAATTATCCAATCCAAACGTTGCTCCTCCAGAATTTCCCGCTTGACTTATTATTATTTCTTTTTATCTTTTTTTTTCTTCTTAAATTTACTTTTAATTAGTTGTTTTGGTTCTTAACATGCAGGATCGCCATGTGAAAGGTTGATAGTTATCTCAATAAATTGAATATTAGATGGTAATGGAATTGAAAGATTGTTTCGTTATAACGTTCTATTTATTCATTCTTACTCTACGATTACATATATCTACTAGACTAAAATTTTAAAACTTAATATTATTCGAATTAAACATAAACTAATTTGCAAGTTCAACATTTTTATTGAATGTCCTCAATTCGTAGGTGCAATGCACCTCCGAATTGCACGCATCGATATTACATAAATTTCGCAATCACTTCCTCTCTTGTATTTCATTACAACGTAAGAAAAGTATAGTGGCGTCAAATGTACATTTTATGAATTTTTTTGTAGACTAGTGTAATTGAATACTACTGAAATTAACTAATTTTCAAACAAAATACGACGGGCAACATGTTTCTATCACTGCAGCCGATAGTTCCGAGACCTATGCGAAGTTAGCCCCCAATTAGATAGGATTTTACATGTATAGTACTTTGATTATAACAAGAGAACCAGTCAACCGATTTCGATAAACAATGTCTCATTCGATACATGTAAAATCCTATCTAATTGGGGGCTAGAAAAATTGGGAGCTAACTTCGCACAGGTCGTTCCGAGGAAGTTTCGACGATCAGCAAGCTACCGTTGGACTACCGTACACTACTGTTTTTTATGATGCGGAATTAGAAATCGTAGAACGATCAAATCAATTTCAAACGTTTACAAATATCGGAAATAACCGTTGAGCGATTTTAAAGACGATCCGCTCATTATTAACAAGATTATGAATCAAAATCATCTCGCATCATAATTAATTAATTTACTTCGTTCCTGATGGTCATCCACGGAAAATACTGCCCGTATAGGATTGCCCCGGACATAGCCCAACTGCTGGAGGTACTTTGTGTTAAGTACGCGTTAATTGATACCGATTAATTGGATTTAACGTGAAACATGAGGTCGGAGAAACATTTATATATGTAAGTGCCGTAAACAGTAACCGATTTTGTTAATAATATTTTTGTAATTTTTCATATAACTAAAGGTATCTTTTGATTCATGTTATAAATTTTTACGTTAATTATTGTTAATTAATTGTTGATTGCTCGGTTGTTTCTTGACCGATTTTATTCGTTCAAAGACTGGATTTATGAAAT